ATGCAAGGTATGCCGGGCACGTTTTAACTAATTGCTCGGGTTTCGATATCACATACCTCGTGCCGGCGTTATCTATTAGCGAGCGCGTTATTGCTTTTGCGAATATCCTCGCTCATTCGAAATGCGATGTACATATTGCGATGCCGGCGTACTTAGTTGGCACGCGGCAAAACTTGATCGCGATATATTGCCGATGATTTGGAATCGATGAATGCGGGGAGATTGATTAATTAATTAAATAAATCAGCGAAATCGCGATGTATACTCGCGTTACTATAGAACCACATACACGCGGGAACCGAAATGCTGCATGTAAATGCGAATGAATGAATACGATAAGTGAACTAATGCACGTATATCAGAAGCAAGCATCTCGCGGGAAGATAAGCAGTCCTTCATACGTGAAAAGACATTACATTGGATTAATTAAAATGATTAGCTAACTGCGCTGGGGATCAAGTTCCTTTAATTTTATGAAGTACATATTTATAAAGCAAATATTTATAAAGTACACTACACTATTTAGGAGAGGCAAAATGAGAATTTGAAATATTTGCAGTAAATAAGGATCTAATTTTTTTTTTAATTACGCGGTATTTGACGTATCTTACAAATACCGCTCCCTTGGTCTTTTCTCTCACTTTTCTAGATTATTTACATGCTAATAAACTTCGAGTAATTAACATGCTAATATTAACATGCACCGTACGGAAAGATGAAAAAATTCCACGCGTGCCATTAAATTATCTCAAATTAAACGCGACCCGAGACTCGAGACCGGTTTGCACAGCGGCCGGGGGATATAAAGAATTATTAGACATTTATATTGCGGAGTCGAGAGAATGCTTGCGTGCGCTTGCTTTAAATCGCCCTCTCTCCCTCCCCCCGTAATGGACCCGCGTGTCTAATTAGATAGTAATGACTTTATTAGACGCACCCGGAAAATTTACTCGCGCTCGTTACCCCTCTCTCCTCCCTCCCTTCCCGCTGCAGCAACGGCTAATGTAACCGGCGGATAATTGCAAAGTAAATTCTAAGGTGCGCTGCTGGTGCACACTGGTATACGCCAGGTATACGTCGTATGTGCGCGAGGGATGCGCCCGCCTCTCTCTCTTTCTCTCTTTTTCTCTCTCTCTTGTTCCATAATTTCGACGGTTACCTGTAATCTTAAGCGCTAACGAGAACGAAGATGCGTAATTTTCTCTGCACGGAGGGTGTTTCGCGAGGCGGGGCGCGCGAAAGGGTTGACGGTCCTTTGTCCGCCCGCGAGAAGGCGCGTGCCTGTATCGAAAACGTGGGAGGTCCTCCTTTGTCGTCTACTACTACTACGGCTGCAATTATCTCGGATTAATGTCGGTGCTCGTACACTCGCTCCTTCGTATCCTGTCTTTCTCTCATTCTCTCTCCTTCCTTCCTTCCCCCTCCTCTCTCTCTCTCTCTCTCTCTCTCTCTCTCTCTCGCGTCTCCTCTTCTACCCCTCTGCGACTCGATCGTCGAAGCCGCTGCCGTTCCGTTCCGGTATTATAGTTTCGCGGTATTCGACGGCCATTGTGCGCTCTGTTTTAGACGCATACAGCCCCTCGCGTTCTAGGCAGTATAGACTCATCCTCTCGGCAAAGTTAACGATGCCTGGAAATTCCGGCGATGCGCGGGATAGCGATAACTATATGGTGTGTAATATAAATTCTAAAGTCGATCGCGAATGCACTGTAAAATGCATGCGTTTTTAGTTTGCATTTAAGCAAATATTTGAATAGTACGCACTCTGTATATGATATTGAAATTCGAAAGATAGAACAGAGAATGAATATAAATATAAAAGTAGGTATTTTTTTTTAGAAAAAAAGATTTGTTCAAATTTTTACTCGCGAATGAAATGCTTCTCTCTTTCCGTCTAATCAAGCTTGCAAGGTATTCAGCTTCTCGACTGAATGAGGCAGAAGAAACAAAATTAGACTCTTCGCTCAATGAATTTGGATAGACGTTCTAAATTGAAGATTGTAGGAAGGACTTGACTAATGCACTTACAAATTCACTGCGGTATAAGCGGCATTAAAAGTAACATGAAATTTTCAACAAGCGCAGCTTCAAGAGAAGGTATAAGAGTCAGCGACAAATAAATCTGTGTCTGATATAAAATGAGTCTTACGTACATAGCGGATATAAAGCGGATAGAACGGAATACATAAAGAAAGGTAGTAAGGAACCTTAATAAAGATGTACTATTATCTTCGTAATCGGATTGCAAAAGTTCTACCGTTTTCAAGAACTTAATAGGAATCCCGAGTGAGAGGAGAGCGAGAGCGCGCGAGGTAGGGACAGAGGAAAGAAAGACCTCCACTTTGTTCGTTGTTTCATTTCATCAATTAACATCGCGGCTCGGTGAAGGTCGTTGCAGGCAGCCTTGCCTTCGAGCGGAATTAATATCCGAGAATAATGCGATTACCGAGGCTTCACCGCCAAGTCCTGTCTTCCTGTCATCCACTTCTTAGTCCGGAATAAATGCGTCTCTGTATACGCATTATAAGCGTGTCACAATCACTCGCGAGTGATGATTGGCAAGGATAAATTTGTTTCGAAACTGCGCAAATCTTTATCTTACACTCTTCTTTTATAAGAATATTGAAAGAGCCAAGAGAATATTTTATGAGAACCGCACTCGATTGGAGAATAACAAAATATATTTTACAATTCACTACTATTTATATTTTTAATTTTTTTAAAAGATTAAAAGAGGTTTCTTAAATATTATATTATTTTGATAAATAGGGAGATAAAAAAATGCTTTTCCTTTGCTTCTTTAAAATTCCTTTTTTTTTATATAAAAAAAGAAAGAAATGATTGCGTTTGTAAATTATAAAAAATTATTTCTTGAAATAAAAACTATCTCTTTTCCTTCCTTTTCTCTCTTCTGCAGATATTAAGGACGATGTGCGAGATAATCTTGTAAAATTTCGAGGTCTCCTTTGCATTTTGAATATATGCAGGATAAACGCAGGATGAACATTGTTAATTAATTATTCGTTACATAGTATGTTTACTGAAAAGATTGCTCTTGCGTGAATAGTGATATATGAATACAGATTTGCGAGTAGGAAGGGATTTAAATGGAATCGCCGAAGCAAACAAGCGTACTGTTTTTCCGGATTAGTCGGGATTTTATCGCTCCGTATCTCTTTTTCCGTTTAAATAAAGCAAGGGAGCGCATGCGGATTGATGTGTGTGTGTGCGTGTAGATGGGTAATTAAGGGAATATCTGCTGACTAGCAACTGGATACTGATTAGTTCGCGGGCGATCGATAGTTTAAATCGCGTCCGATCGACCGTGGAGACGATTCCTATAAGTCGATTCGAAAAGTTTCCCACTCAGGCGGCGATCCTCTGCTGTAAATTCCGAGAAATTGTCAGAAAAGATCGAACGAGGGAAAGAAGAAGCTTTGATTTCGTTCGGGGGGGGTTTCGCCATCAGAAAGTTAAACGTTGCACCGTTAATAACGATCAAAGTTGCTACCGTTCGGAGGTTGTAATAAACTTGCGCGATCGAAGCTACATTCTGTTCGCTGGCTTTTATGAAAATTCCAATTTAATGACGCGTGTCCTCCCGTTGATAAAGGCGGTCTCTCGCGCCGTAATATCGTGCGCAGGATTACACAAAGGAAGATTAATAAAACGTACGCAAACAAGGGAACGTATAATTATGGAACATAGTAAAGTCAATTTACGTAATTAATCCTGTTATTCACGTAAATTCTGAAAAATCTCAAGGCTCACGAAATCCGATATCTCGGAGTCTCGATTTCCTGTCACCCTTTGGCAATTATCACCGAATGAGCGACCACTATATAAATCCCTGAAGACTGTACTATTTTCCAAGCAACAGCAACACCTGAAAAATGAAATTAACTTCGGGTGCGTTAATTAAATTCAAAGGAGAGGCGTCGTCGGGGCGGCGCGCACCGGCGCGGCGGCTCCCTCGTAAATCTCGAGAGTCGAGTTCAGTTCCGAAGTTTAATCCTTGAGTTCTCCGTTAACAGCGTGAAAGTGCGCGCGCGATAAAGCTCGGCCTCGCAAAATCGCTTGAAAATTTCCCGAAACTTAATCCTCAGGTTTAAACTAGACCGCCGAAAGCGGCGGAGGATCAAACGCTCGCCCGTACCCGGGCGCTTCGAACAGTTCGCGCGAACGACTCCTCTCGAAATCGTAAATTCGATTCTTCGCCCCGGATCGTACGGGGGCGTCTTAAACTTGCGCCTTCATCGCGGAGATCCTCGGAAAAGTGGAGTCACCGTCATTCATTCTCCAAGTTTGCTCATAATTCTAATAGTCTGACGTACCTCTTAATTGTAAAATGCGCGACATTCTAATGAAAATTTGTAAAATGTATTGATTAAAAAGTTAGCGAATTAAATTGGTAGAAATCGATACGACATGTAAAATTCATCTGAAAATATCGTATTATGTAATAAAACAAATACAGCTTATATCCACAGCTTCTCACCTATGAAAATGGATATTTTATGATTGATATTTTATGACATGAAGATACATCAAGTGATGTCCTTTTTAAATATTTTATATGAATGAAAAAAAATATACATGTATATATACTTATATATATTTATATATATAATTTGATACAAACCAGGGGCCAGAATTTAATAAAAATTTATGTACAGCGAAAAATGTAAAATTATAGAATATATTCCACTGTAATTTCTAAAATATTGAATTTGAAGAATTCTGACTTGTTAAATCTCAAGATTTAACATATCTATACGTTTCCAGTATTTTTATATAATTATAATATGTTGTTACCTCACATAAAAATTTTTCTTAAATCTTTAAAAGAGGATAACAAAAGCTTGCAGCATAAAATATTGAAAATTATAGCTCAGACATCTTACGAAACTAACTCGATCCTTCTCGCATGCAACTCAACTACATCATCCAGAGCCTGAGGTTTCGCTGTTGCATAACCGCCGTTCCCTCGTCTGTTGCAGGAGCTGGAGAGGAGTTACACCCTCTCGACCCCGGGTGGTAGCAGTCCCGTTTGTTGTCCGCCTTGCAGCCCGCCGCCCGCGCCGGCCGCATACATATCGAGCGCGCGCGCGTCCTCGCGTAGACTCGGCGCCGGAAGTGGCCTCGGCGGGCCGACATCCCCGGAGAGAGATCCCCTGGGAAGACTGTTAAGGTGAGTCACTCGTTCAACGTTCCCGCCGTCTCCGCGGTTCTCTCTCGCACGCCGCGAGACGGAATCCTTATTTCTCCGGGGCGAAATCGTCGTTCCCGGACCGAGAGGGAGTCTAATTCCATTAGACGTGTTTTTGCCCGACGACGCTTATACGCTCGCATTGTCCCGAGGATGAGACGACGCTCTCGGAGGTGATTTCATCCGGTACAAATAGATACCCGGAACAACGGTACAACGAGAAACTTTACGTCGAAGTACCGTACGTTTTAATTAATCTCAATTCCAATTTAAAATTCAATTTTGGCTCGTTTTGCTTTTACTCTTTTGCATATATAGTTGCAGCGGTAGATAATTAATTTGAACGTTACACACAGATGTTTTGATCACAGATTGTTGCTTATTATATAATATTCTCCCAAAATTATATAAATTTTGACGAATCCTCGTAATTATATTCATTATACGAAAGATTAGAAGAATATGCGTGTGACCTATATTGCGTACAACTTGAACTACGCTGTACAAATTATAAGTTCATTCCACTTCTGCTTTAAGTTTCCTCAGGTAAACGTAATTTAATGCTTTTGCGGAAACAGTTTCTGCAATTGTAATTTTAATTAGTCTAACATCGCACTAATTAAATAGTAATTGCGGTTAATTCAATTTTCTTCGGCACAGGGTAACCGATATTGCAGTTTAAATTTAACATTAGTTAAACTCTGGTTTAATTTAATCGACGTTAATGAAAGCAGGAGTTCTAGAACAGCGCGGACGCGGGTATGCGGGATCATAAATGTAAAAGCATTCGTGCGGGCGAATTAAATTCGCGATGCCGTCGAGGGTGTTTGTCGTGTCGATCGAGACGTCGCGGGGCGGAGGGGAGGGGGGAGGGTTATGCGACCGGTGTACGCGGAATCCGGATATCCGATCTAATGACTTCCATAAAATCAGGACAGGCTTCTAAGACCGATCGTCCGGAAGTTGTAAAGTCTTTTTCTTTCTCCCACCGGGGTACGTCCTTCTCCCGATTACTTTCATAGCCCTGCGGGCTTTCCCCGCAAGATCCATCAATCCGTATGGCAGAGGGGTGTACACGAATGCGCCGTCCAACATCTTACTAGTACCACCATTTTGTCGTCTTGGGAAATTTATCGATCACCCGGTAAATGGGGGATCATTCATGCTAAATTGACACCGCTCCTTGCTACCCGAGCGATGTTAAACCTTAACTCACTTCACCTTCGATCTGCTCATTCATCGAATCTATCAAAATTTGGTTTAGCTTTATACGCTCCGTGTAAAATCTTCCTTTTTTTTTTCTCAAAAGCGCTGCTAGAATGTTGACATTTTTCGATATTGCAATAAAAAAATGATGAATGTAGTTGGTGGTACGAGAATACGCTGAAATAAATCATAACATATGATATTTATATTACTATAGTGTAGAAAAGTGGAGTGAAATATTAATATACATAATCAATTTTTTTTTAACGAGAATAAATTGTCGTTAAAATTCCGACTTCACGAAAGTTACTAAAACATTCATCGTTATTTATTACCATGTATATTATACTTCAAACCCTCTGTTATACCCCCTGTTGTATTATACTTCGAACAATGCGATATTTTGAATCTCGCGATTATCAGCTTCCATCTATCTTGCTTGGAGCACCAAAACTATTTCATCAACCTGTATCCCTCTCCGGAATCTGGCGAACCGTCGCCCTTCGCGACTTCGCTCGAAGAATTTCCGCTCTATACGGCCCCACAGATTGAATAACCCCCGGCCGTATCCTATCGCGTTGCAGATTCCTGAAGACCTTCTACAGGGAGTTGGGCACCCGCGACCCACCCCATCTACCGCCATGGGCGTCCCCGCTGCCGCTCGGCACCCTCTGTCCGGCGCACTTTCAGCCGCATCTGCAGCTGGTGCACAAGAGCGAGCAGGAGCACCGTCTCGAGAACATCAAGCCCGACCAGATCTTCGCCCCCGTCAGGGTGAGTGTAATTAAAATCCAATAATTGTGTTATATCGACGGTTCAAAGCGCAGATATTGCATGCCCAGAGGTATACAGTTTAGCAAAAACTTGGAGAGGATGTTTTATGTGAGAGTAGAGGGTGAGATATAAATGAAAGGGAGGGCAGACGAGATATTTATGTTATCGATATTTATTTTTTGCGTACATCACATATATATATTACATCAAGAATTCTCAACGATGTAATTTTACCGTGTCGCATTATATTTCTAAATATAAATGTGTAAGAGATATATTAAGAGGCAAAAAAAATCAATTTGATTAAATTGAAAGTCAAATTGTGATTTTCTCGAAAGAACCGGTCGCTATGCAGAGAGAGAGAGAGAGAGAGAGAGAGAGAGACAGATGTCCCGAAAATACGTTTAATATTTAGGCAAAAGCGCATGCTGCATTACATCGTAAGCAGGGCGATCGATAACCGCGGATCCCGTACTGAAAATGTCAAACAGATTTTCGGTTCGCGTAACAGGGCGCACACAGGGGGGGGGGGAGTTTTCGCGGGCGGTCGCGCTTTATCAGAAGGCGCTGCCGAGATCCTTCGTCGGCAGCCGCGGATTTGCATGATATCGACTCCGTAATTGCGCGGACGAGCGGCAAAGTCGAGTCTCGGATGTCCAAAGAAGCCGGGGGGAGTTTCCTCCTCCGACGACTGTCGAAAGCTCGTTTCGCCGTCGTCGTCGTCGTTGCCGCCGCCGTCGCCGCCGCAACTTCTCTCAGAAATGTGAAAGCCAAGTTGGTGTCTTCTGAAGTCCCAGAGAGAGAGAAAAAGAGAGAGGAGGGGGAATGAAAAAGTTCCGCGAACTTCCTTCCCTTCGCGATTCGCTGTCTCGAGTTCTCGGCAATACCATGCAGGCCGCACGACTTCCTCGCACACGCCCGTGCTTCTCTCGGTGCAAGTCTTTCGCGAGCGAAATGCAATGACACTCCGAATCGACACGCTCGCGATTTATGACCGCGGTTGCTTTGGCTGCCAGACAGTTGTTTTGATTAAATTGCGCCGAATCGATTTTCGCGGATGAGAGTGCAACGTTAAATTGGTCAGCGGTTTACGTAATCGGTTTACAAATCGATTTTATGTGTTTCTCATTAAGTGAAGAAAGGAATTAGCGACCGCGAATAAAATTGATTGCAGTATTGCAAATTGTAACATAGATTTGATTCGAACAATCTTCTTTGAATAATCATTAAGAATTAACGACAATTAGTAATTCATTAATTTTTAATGGTACATCGAGGATAGAAGTATTTATTGAATGTATACATATTAAACAGAGTTCTCGCGAAATTATTATTAGAATCAAAATCTTAAATTTTATCTTCAGGTCGCAGCGTGCAGAGATAAAATCTAGGCAAATTGTCGCTTGAAAGTAAGCTCGTATATACCTACCGATTGTGTCGCGGAGATTCGAGACGTGGGGACTTGATCTTCTAAAATTCAGGCGAACTCGTAATATCCAGTTCAGACAAATTATCGAATGTATCCAAGTTTGATGTACACGCGTGCACGTACGTAGTACATCGATCAAAACGAATAGCGGCAAGGGGTGAATAGCGGCTTCAAGCTCCTTGCGCGCGCGGTTCTCACGTCTCGCGAGCAGTCGTTCACGTCTTGGCGATAATATCTCCGTTGCTCTTTCTCTCTCTCTCTCTCTCTCTCTCTCTCTCTCTCTCTCTCTCTCTTGCTCTCGTTCTCGTTTCATGGATAAAAGGGGTTTGATCGCGGCGTTGAGACGCTGATCGGCCGAGCGTCCTTCTGCATCGCGTAACGAAGCATTGTTCTGTCGCGGAACGATAAGCCGATTCGTTAACGTTTCCTCGAGAACCGTGTTGCTCGCGCTTTTTCGTCTCGGGTGGAAGAGTCAGCTGGAACGATAACTCCTGCCGGAACGTGAGAATGAAATCCATACTTTTTCCTTTGTTTTTCTTTTCGAATCTCGAGATCGCTTACAACTCTGCAACGGTACATCATAATCGCGAGTGAAACGCAACGGGTATTTTCGAAATATGGAGTGCACTAACGTAAAAGATATCATTATTACACATAATGATGAAAATAATGATCGTTCTGTGTTACGACAAAAAGTTGTATTAATAAATTAAAGCTAAAACAATAAAACTATGATTTTGTATAGTGATTATATACACTATACAAAGAAATATTAATTTGTGAAAAATTACGATTATTTAATTACTTATTAAATATACTCCTCCATTGATTAAATCTATTTTTTAATCATTCTATTTATTTTTTAATTGATTGTTTTGTATAAATTAATAAAAAGGTGTGTATATGAGAAATAATAACATGTCGAAACGTATCTTATTCGAAATCGAAAATCCGCGATCAAATACGATTTTTCCCACGTGCTATTTCAGAAAATACGAACTCATTATCGTAGATATTGCAGTTCTTTTTCTCCCATGAGAAACCCGTGTCTCCCGTTCGTTACTTTCGATATATATCGCGACTGCGTAACGTAAAGAGCCACAAAATGCAGACAATGCGCCACATCGCCCGGAAACGCTCGCCGCGAAAAATGAGCCTCATAACCGTCGGGACATACGTAGGATATGGTAGGGTAGAAAAGAAGGAAGGTGCAGGCGCACAAACCTCTCGGGGAAGAACCACATGCGCGGTACCGGGGACGAATTCGCATCATAAAACCGATGTGCTTCCACCGCGAAAAAAGACGAGAACACCCACCAACCTTTAGGAACCGCCCTTAGAATCGCCGAATGCATTCGCGTTCGTCGCGTGCACCCCAATTCCCTCGCCTGTCAAAAATTAAAGAGCCAACGCGAAGAAAGACTGCACGTAAATGCAAGAAGAGGCAGGAACTTCGGGAAAAAGCCACTTCTTTAGATATTTTATTCATTTAACAACGGTTGGGAAAAGGCGTCTTTTAAATTATTGTTTCACAAATACCTACGATTCCTGTATATATACAACTTTTAAAACGAATGTTGACTTTTGTATATAAAATATTATTTAAAGAAAAATATGGTTTTTGGAAATATGTCACATACGGTAAAAACGATAAAAAAATACAGTAACTTTTTTATTATAAATAAAATATATTTTAGAGTACGCTATTTATTATAATTTTTTTTATGTAATCTTTTTTTAAATACAAGCTTTTCATCAACGTCATGTTTTTAATTATTTTCTTTTTTAATTGGTATTACGTGAGCAGTGGCGCGTAATTCATGATTTATCTCTATTTTAATATAAGCAATTATGTTTCTTTTCTACATGACGATTACGTCATACATGTTTTAAAACTCTCTTGGTATCCGATAATTTATCTGGCAAAATATATTTTTTATCCTTCTTTCGCTATGTAAACAGAATGTGGTTTGTTTCCAAACTATGCGTTCCCAAATTTGTCAAGGTATTCGTCGAGATAGAACGAATGAGGAATCAGTGTATATTGCGAGCAAAACCAACACACGATTCTCTGAGAACTGGATGTAACTGTTCGTGGAAAAATCCTGTTGCCATTCACCAGGTGGCCGGAATCAAAATATCGAGGTCGATACTTGAAAAAACGAACGATTAAGACTCTCGAATCGAGCGTCGATGTTTTCAACAAAAATATGGAAAATCGATGTAGCGCCGACTTTGTTTTTTTTCACAAAAATGTAATCGCCGTGTTCCCGCTGTGTTTCTTAAATTGTTAAAAATAATATTAAATGCTGTTTAACTCACGATGGTGTGCGATTATTTTTATTAACCGCTAGGTATACAAATTTGCATGCAATGAAGGATCGAGTGACGCGGTCGCTGTGTTCGCTAATGGACGTTACGCTTGAAAATTTAACTCTTTTGCACAATCGCGAAACTGCGCCATAGCGATTTTATACCGCGAGATGTGGGTACGACGAAAGAAAATTTTTAAAATAGAAAGGAAAAAAACCGGTCGATTGCGATAAATTAAAAGAGGGCGTGCGGAGAATGAATAATTGAGATTATACTAATGAGGTCTCGCGATATGAGAGTAACGAAGAGAGATGCGCTGGAGTATCACTCTCATAAATTTTCGCGTAGTCTAAAAGTAAAAAAACAAAAAAAAATGCAAAGAGTGTCACGTCGAAGGTGTATTGACGTTGCTGAACCAGGAGCCACTGGGTCTGCATTTTATTATTATTTGGGTGATTTTTCCGCGGAGAAGCCGACGTCGCGGCTGTGCGAGATTCCGTAGGTTTGCGCGGTCGGATCGATGATAGATCGGCGGAAAGGAAAAGAGGACGATCCGCGGCCGCGGGTGCAGGCATCGATCCACGTCCAATCGCTGCCTGCCGTTTCCAATACGTATATATGCGGAAACGTATATATATCTGGATATATATATGTATCTGGAAAGCGCGATCTGGCACGATCCCGCGTGGCGGATCTTTCTCATCGCTCGTTTCTTTCCACGATATACGCTCGCGAAGAGACACATCGTTCCCTCCCCTTCCCTCCCCTTCCACCCCGTGAAACGTATCCTCCGCTTCCTGTATCACTGTCTCCTTAAATTTTCCGCGGCGGGATGAAGCGCGATATCTCCCGTGCTATCGCATGAATATCAACGGGCGCGCGCTCCCGAGATCCTTTCGCTGAGATTTGTGGACGCGCCGCGATCATTTTCATCCGCTGTCCCACCGCGAATTTGTCGTAGTGTCTATAATTGAATCGTCAGGGAAAATAATTGGCTGACGTATGTTGCCATTAATGTAAGTAGTTATTGTCGCGTGCGTATTGTATAATTATAACGATCGTACAATAATTGCGCAGTATAATCATTTAATATGGTATTATGTATTAAATATATATTAATTAAGAATTACGTGGAAATTGTATACGTTATACATAATTTCCACGTAATTCGCATACATCCAAGTAATACATATAATTATAATGCAATTTGAAGGATTTTAATTTTCTCTTCTTTTTGAATTTGCTGTCGGGGAAACGAAAAATATAGGAAACGCGAAATAGTTATGTTTGTGTTAAAAAAATCTAGGAATATACTGTTGCTATTTTGCTCATCAAAAATTACTTTTCCATTGCCGCTTCGGGAAATCGACTATTTCGTCAAATTGTATATATTCGAGTGATCCACTTTTACCCTTCTTATACGTAATACAATAACGAATGTCGTCTGCCTTCAACGTGCCTCCCCGCCGCTTATCGAAGAATATTTACGAGCGTGTAGACTTTCTAATCTCCCCGGAAAAACGAAGGATTTATCGCCCTAGTATCCTCGCGACCGTTCCCGACGCGGGCGCGCGCGCTCCCCGCGTCCGTCGCGTTCTCGCGGGATATTTTCTCCTCGCGCCTGCCGGCACATTCGAGATTGGTTTGCGGCCTGGAAGCGGCCAGAACAAATGCGGCCCTACCGGAAGGATTGATAGGTAGATCCCGCATGACGCAGGAATTATTCTGCGGCGGATTATCCGGTAACGAGCTTACGATCCTTCATGCATCCACGTTGTTGCATTATCTCGTCAAAAACCCGCCTCATGCTATCGACGTTTCGTTAATCCCGATCGGTTAACGCACGAATCAATTAATTTCAATCGAACAGCTTGAACTTCCGTTGGTCTTCCGACCAACTCGTGCTTCTTAATAAAAAAAATAAAAAAATGAAATTAAAAGTCCGATAATATGTTAATCTATTAATATCGCAATTCCTCGGTACACACCTTGGGTCTTTCAATATTTTATCGAACGCAAATCTCTGAAATTGAAGAAAAGCAAAAATGAAATTACACCGCAATCAAATTTTTCGTCGAACAAAAAATATAAAAATTTAATCAAGGAATCTAAATTAGACAGTGAGCTGGCCATAATGTTTGAACATCCTGTATGCGCGTGTATCATATATGTTCACACATCGGCGTATTATAGATACAGGTGTGTTGATATATGTATTATATGTAGATGCGCTTTACGTGATAAAAGTTGTGTATCAAATATACATATTTTATCGGTTGAAAATCGCGGCTCGGGAGGCACGCCTGCACAATGAATGGACTCGTATCGCGCTTTTTTCATTCGCAGCGTTCCAATAACCGGATGTTGCAATCGCACGGTGTATAATGGCCGCGCTGTTATCCGTCGGCCGACAGATTGTGTATGTACGGCCGCGCGCGACCGGATCGATTATTGCTGACAGAGTGAATGACCGGCAAACGTACTACGGATTACGGTTATCGATTACGGGAATCGAGATGCTGCTTGCCGATATCGATCGCCGATCGTACGCCGTTAACGTCGACGGCGGCCTAATCCCGCGCCGGTTAACGGCATTGCCGTCGGTGCGTTGCGAAGCAGGCCAGGAGTTTAATCGTTCGCTCCCGCTAATCGTTTGCATAATGCTGTAACTGCAACGTCGCGTAATACTTTCGCTTCCTATTCGTGCGGCGCGTAATACGCGAGCACGTCGCTGCACTGTCAGGGATTACTCCAGATTGGTGACAAGTGGACAGATGGAATTACTCCGCGCGAATATTTGCTGTTGCAGCGATCGCGCGCGTTAGAGCGATGATATTTTACGAGCTTTCGATCCCATCGGAAGCGAAGAGCTTTTCGCAATAAGGCTGCGGAAATAGGTGGATGCACAAATATAATAATGCGAAAATGTACAAATACAAATAATAATGAAACGTTATCGTTCCAGAGCGGAATGGGATCTCGTTTTAAGAGAACTTTAATTGCTATAAGCGCCTAATGTAGAACGTCAAAATTTGAGAGCTCGAAAAATACACGAGCTTCGCAAACACAGAGGGAAGCGTTCGGGAAAGGTATTGATTTTCGCGGGGAAACATTTTGCCATAATGTTGTCGAGCACGAGATTGCAGGACGTATATGGTATCGAATATCGGTAACAGGCAATAAGGTGTCCGAAGTGTTCCGAAGTTCCAGACGACGGCTGATCCATCTCGAATAGAATTAGTTCGCGGGGAAGGTTTTAGATTCTAATTGGCTCTGGCCGCGGTGACCCAGCGATCGGGAAACCGAGAACTATCCGAGAAGCTGGTCACGAAGTGACTAAACTTTTTTCCCTTTATTTTTGTGCCATCGGTTCTCCCGGGAAGAATGTTCACTACACGAGAAAACAATTCGTAATTCATCGCATTTGCCCTTTTTACCTCCGCCTTACGTCTGCGGTTTACATTGGACAACTCTTGTCACGAGTTTGCCTTAGTTTGCATGTTAATTCGGGACATTTTTTTATTTTGCCGTTACACGAACGCTGCATAATATATTTTTGCTCTCGCGTTTTATTTTGTGAAATTTAAATTATATACATATATATGTATATATATATATAAATAAAATTTAAATTTGTTTTCGCTTTATTATATATATAAATATATATATATATAAAATATATATAAAGCGAGATAATAATGTTATTTATTTGTTTTGTTCTAATCCGCTGTGTGAATTGCCCCAATTTATTCTTATTGTTTAGAATTTTGGAGTTGTCGCCGAAAATTTAAGCGATAGATCAGGAATGACTTAAGTATATCTTGCACGAATCTTATATGTTAATCGTACTTTGATTATAATAATCTTGTTAAGATCATAGCGACCGGGGTTTTTTTTTTATCAAAAGAATGTCAGACTAGTCTTTCTAGTTTTTAATATTACAACGCGCTTACGTGAAACCGATTGTGATTTCCAGCTAAGCGACGGTACCGTATCCGAAGCGCCGCGGCGCGTCGCCGTCGAGGGCGGCCCCGGAAGCGGCCGGACCACTCTCTGTTTGCGACTACTGCACCAGTGGGCGACTCAGAGCGACGGTCCCGCGCTGGCGTTTATCGTGCCGCTGCGCGAGCTTCGCGGCAGCCCGGTCCTGAATTATCTGACGCGGGAATTATTCCCAAGAACGGCCGCGTTGGGCGACGCGGTCGCCCAGGTGTGGCGCACTTTGCACCTGATGGAGGATCGCGTGCTCTTCGTCCTGGACGGTTACGACGAGTGCGTGGGCGGCCGAGCGTCGCTCGGCGACGCGGCCGATCTGTTGGAGGGACGGCTGTTCCCGGACGCCAGGATCCTGGTCACGTGCTCGCCCAGCAATTCGACCGCCCTCGCGCCCTTGGTCCAACGTAGAATCCATCTGGCCGGTCTCGAGTGGCCGCATGTCGAGCGGCTCTGCGTGGCCTACTTCATTCACAACGACATCGCCGAGAAGGCCTGCGAGTTCCTTGAGGCGCTCAACGTGCAACCGCAGTCTGTCAGGCAGCTCGGCCAGCATCCGCTTGGTTGGATCATGCTCTGCTGCTTGTATCAGGTAGGATTTGTGGCTATAAATGTCAAATATCTGCTGGTTATGCGAAAGATTTTAGTTAAAAGCTACACCTCTTATTTGTTAAATTACAAAATATTGGTTTTTACTAATTTTATTTGAGGGCATTTTATATTGTGAAACATTGTCTCTAACAATAAAGTTAATTTAGCAACGAATTTTATATTTCTATACGTAAATTTATTCAAGTTCTGGTTTAACAAAACCAGTCTTTCTATAATATTTAATATTTAATTATGATAGCTAAATATGATTGTTTCTATATCGCAAATATATACGCGACAGTTTTGCTGCGATTGCAAATTTTTTTTCTTTGTATTTTGCTTTAGAAATGATTAGTTTTTCAATCTAGACGACACATAAGATGATATATAAGAGAGCCCTAGAAAATTCTACAGAATACCTTGATCCACGTGTACGATTTTCGTTATCAGGACTCCGGAAGTCTGCCGACCGAGACAAGCGCCCTCGTGCAAGCGGCGGTGAAGTGCATCGTGAAGAGGAGCTTAGACCCGCCGATTCCCTATAACGAGGAGATCCCGGGCCATTGTAGGAAACGTCTCGAGGACTTCGGCAAGGTGTCCCTGGCTGCCCTAAGGGAGGGCAGATGCTGTTACACAGAGGCTGAGCTGAGGGCGCGGGGTGGCGGCATCGAGGTCACTCGACTCGGCTTCCTCACGAGGGGACTGACCTTCGGTCAGAGACGCAAGCCGGACCTCTACACGCCGATCCACATGGCGGTGGCGGAGTTCCTGGCGGCGTACTATCTCACCTCGGTTGCGCAATACGCCAACATTCTGCGCCGCGAACTGGAGGGCCTACCGTCGGGCATCATCGGCCATCTGGCCGGTCTGCTGGGCCCGAAGACCCACCTGATTCTGAATCAATTGTGCCCGCTGGAGGTGCCACCCAGGGCCGTGTTCTCGCTGCTGAAGGCGGCCGGCGCGTCCGACGGCAACATCTCGGCGGTCTGCCGACTGGTTGGCGCCGGCCCCGGATTCGGACCCGCGCCCAACGAACGACCTCCGGCTCCGCTGGTGCACACGTCCCCTCTGGAGCTGGAGGGATGGGCCAGGATCCTTGAGAGTCCCGCTTGCACGCTCGAGGCGCTCGAGGTGGTGTTCCAAGTGGAGCGTGGATCCGACCCGAGATATCTGGACGATTTCTTCGACGCGCTCGCCGGCAACGAGAGCGTCAAACTCGTCAGGATCACGTCCTTGCTGGGGCAGGAGTTCCCGGCGGACGAGGCGCAGCGTTTGGCCGGACACCTGAAGAGCGTGCTCGGCAAGAAGAAGCTCAACGACTTCGAGCTTGTCATCACCTGTCTCGAGGAGGCGGCCCATGATAGGTGAGTCGTTTTACCGATATATTATACCCACTCGGCGAAGCGAACTTCAAATCGTCCTTCAACTTGTCGCGATTCCCCGAAGGATAGCAAGTTCCGAGCAACTCGTAAGACTGCCAGCTAAGCGCGTTTCAGGAGAATAAACTATGTACAACGCACCGAGCAGATTTACCGTTACATAATTGAGTTGCCGAGATTGGTACACGAGCGGGAAGCTCGTGTAGTATTTTTACCTCGGATTTCTTACCTATCCGCTTAATATCTCTTCCGTCTAGTTAGCTCTACGTACTTGCCTAATTTTTTATATTTTATTATATCATTTATCATCAATTTTATCGCCGTTTCAGCGCTCCTTTTCACTTATCTCAATTACCAATCTTTTATCTTATCGCGATTGAATTTTCGTCTAAAATTTCCGCACCATTGTTCCACGGGGAAATCTTTCAATTAACAATGGACCATAACGACGATTTTCTGCGTCGAAAAGTACGGGATCACTTTATGGGACGACTCATCGCGTCGTCGATCCACTTGCGCGACTCAATAGCTCGAAGGATAAAGAGCCTAGCGAATGTGTCGGCATTATTGCACCTCGAGGACGCTCGATACGGCGCCGTCGATAGCTTCGGCGACGACGACAACGACGGCAAAGAGTTATTATAGAAAGCCTGCTTGTCCGTCCTTGGTCGTATATGAGGTTGACCAGGACAAGCGGTCAATGAGAATATTTGCTCTTCCGCGCCGCGAAAAGAAGTGCAAAAGACGAGAGAGCGAACGGAGGTCTATATTTAGATTTCTACGTTGAGAGAGCTATAAAGCTAAAAGAAGAAGGACAAATAAAGAGAAGCGAAATTAATAAAAAAGTTTTAGTATTTGTATAAATGGACATAGATATCTCGATATTTATATCGAGATTTATATCGCCAATTGTAGAAGAAAATTATAATGGATCTTTTTAGAAAATAATACTGATGACAATGAGTCACTTATTTAGAATAAATTATTCGAGATAAAAAGCTCTCTTGAGTCTTTAATGCTGTAATTAATGTTTTTGTCATAATCAGCATACATGTCTTAGTCATTTGTTAGTGACCGTAAATATTTTAAAATGTTGGCCGTCGCTGCGGCACGCTCGTGAGCGTATAGTATAAATCATGAGGATTTATCGTTAAGCCCGGCGACTGTCATTCCTCCCGAAAATTCCATCGGGCACGCGCGATTCCCACGGAGACGTCAAAATTGAGAAATTTGTTTTGTCGCGCGGACGAAGGACGACGAAAAGGTCCATCGCGCGGATATTTGTCTTTGCCCGAGGAAGGGAGCGGGGTGAAACGGCAGACGCGGAAAAAGCGTGTTTACCTTGCGAGAGAATCGAGCGGGCACACATTCGCGTATACTTGCGCGCCCTGGCTCGCACACGAACGAGAGAAGACTTCTCGCTCCGAGGAGGATCATCACGATCTGCGGTTTTTTAACCCGTGAGAAATTCCACGACGGCTCCATATAATGAGAAATTGTAATAGTCGCACGGCCAAGGTACCGCGAGGAGGAAAAAAAAATCGCTGAAAGCCATTATCGTCGATCTTGCTTAAATTAAAATAAAAATAGTCGTGACGTTGTATTAATTTTTTTGCTGTTATTAAAGGATGGTAATTCGCAGTTCTCTGGAATGAAAGATTTATGCTGCTGAATTCTCGTGCTCCGCAAATTTGCCAAGTGCCGTTTACATTACAATAATTAAACTATCGATTTACCTTACACGTGAAACGAAGTTCCATATAAATTAACTTCTTTCGTTTTTTTTGCATACTTCCGAATTTTTCCTGCTGCATCACCGAGCGTAATCAGACTGTTTACGCGCATAACTAATGCACACGCGATTGCATGCAATTGCATGTATACAGTACGCAAGGGTGTAGCTTTTGAAGGAACCTTTTCGAGGCTTCTCGTTTACGAGGCTTCCTCGCGGTGGATTTCAATTTCTTTCGCAACGCTCGCGCTCCCTCGGCTCAACTCGAACTTCACCGATTTTTCCCGGTTTTATTTAAAGTGCCGCGCACACTCGGGCGTCACTCGCCTGTTTCAAGCTTTACATTTTTCGATTCCGTCGAGACGCTTAAACTCTCCCTTTCTCCGTGTCCCCGAGGAGACGGAGAAAGTATTTCCACGGGCGGGTTCGTGAACTCGATTCTCACCGATGAACTTGCCCCGTCGCGCCGACCTCGAATGCAAAATCGAGCGGACGCGTGGAATTCGAAACGTCGCGACACGACGGTTCGCTTTTAGAATATGCTATCGCAATTGTCACTTGACTTATCTAAAGACTTTTAGAAATGTTAGTTAGATATTTTATACTTCCAAATAGGAATTCTTCCAAATTAATTTATTATTGTCTTATCTCCTTTCTCTTCAAACTCGCTATTGACGATCTACTTTATTTTTATTTTATTTTAGATTATTCTTTCAAATATATTTTCATATATTTTGTCACGTATGACTTTATATGCAAAACATATTTAATTATATTTTAGCGTCATATTTTATAAAAATATTACCATTTTGCGAAAGGAGGTCCACTGAAAGAGATTCTTCCGGCAGACGATTCCAATTTTGCGAATGGGACGCGAAACTAATATTTCACCTTCTTCGTGCTTAAGAATTCAATCTCGTTCAACCTTGAGGTCAAGAGTCTAGCACCTCTTTATTTTCACCGGGGAATTTCTCTTCCTGACAAAACATATCGTTTTTCTTGAATTATATATTCCGGGCGTGGCGCAAATTCGTTTTTTTTTTTTCGGAGGAACAAGGTGGGGGAATAAAAGAGGCTATTACAATTGCGAACGGCACATAACAGTCGAGAATGCACTTTCTGCGGGCAACTGCAAATTCTCGAAAGAAAGCTCGGTGGAAAAAGAGACAAAGGGAGAAAGAGAAAGAGACGACGATGGAACATTAAAGAAAACGACGAGACGCGCCGCGAGCTTTAACTTGCAGACCAGACTCACCGTCTCCCCGTTTTTTACCCTTTCGCGCTCTCTTATTGAATCTCACGGCCTCAATCCCTTCGGTTTTATCCCGTTGCCGCGAGCTTTTTCCCCGGAGACTTTCTCCCCGCCGCGCTTTATATGTATTACGATTTTATTCTTTGCTCGTCACTTCCTTTTCGTGCAAAATTCTATTCCCTTGCGCAAAAAAAATACAAATAAATTTTTAACCGTTGGACCAAATCAGATTTTGCTTTTAATGAACGCTTCAATCCCCGTCGTTTTGCGAAACAACTCAAATCCGATTCGCGTCTGACGAATTAAGCGAGAGAGTCATATCTCTCCGAATATTTGCAACGTGGAAAGTATTTTCCGAAATATCCTTTCTCTCCGTATTGTATTCTGCTTTAAATGCGATTAAACGCTCGCAAGCTCTGAGCGCGCTTTCGTTCGCTCTGCTTTTCGTCATCGGTCTTCCCTCCCAACGCGAATGCACAGCCCTTCCTCGCGAAGTCTCTCTTCAAGCTTTACGAGAGCAGTCATCTTTTCCGCGATGCAACTGCGAGGCGGCGGAATAAAAGGCGGGAGTGGGGGAGGGGGAGGGGGAGCGAACACCTACCCATTTGCCTCGGAGAAACTCTCCCTCTCTCGACGATACGGCCGCCGGCTCATTGTTTCGCGTCGAAACGTTCTCCTTGTTTCAACCTCCACCTCTACACCACCACGAAACCCTTTACGCTTCATTCTATCACCTTTCCGTAACGCCAGGTCGTCACTTTTGTTCTCGCGGTGCGAGAGTCGATATTATTATCTTTTCTATTCGAACGACGACGGGGGAATCGATCGGGGCCATCGTCGCCTCGAATGTATTCCTGAAGAGTTCATTCTTCCCTGATAATACCGAAGCTATCGTATGCCGCAAAATAAAAGCCATGATCGTGCACGACGCGGTATTGTCGAGGTCAATGTATATCTCTCTCATCATCTATATTTTATTTTATTTTAATTTATAATATACTATAATAATTTATTATTATACTTAATGCTAAAAAAATATTAAACTATATAGTATTTTATTAATGTACTATTTAATACCTTCGCGAATTTTTGTGCTACATTCTTTACTTAATCCATAATTTTTCCCGAATGGCGAAAATTAAAGCAGATTTTTATAGTAAAAATACATCTAACGAACAATGAAGTAAAAATGTAATTTATTCTTTCTTTTAAGATAATTATTATCTGTTTTTTTTTCTAATGTTATCCAAATTCTTTCTCTTTAACTCTTTAACTCTGTATCTTTGTTAAAAAAATTATTAAATTAAAGAATTTTCCCTCTAATAGTCTGTGTGTTTAGATGAACGGAGTGAAATTTTTGAAATTCACGATATATTTTATCGCCTGTTTGGAGCTAGTTACCATGCAAAGTGGCGAAGTTGCATCGTGAAAATTCTCCCCCTTTTTTCCTCCCTTCTCGCGCGAGATGCGGCGGATTATCACGTTTGCTGTGATGTGCGCCTTCTAAGTACGAATTCTTCCCGCGTACCTTCCGACGATGTCGAAAGGTAGAGCGAATGCCCGATTAATATTACGATCCACGTTACGAGAATGCTGCCTGCCGTTTCCGCAACTATACACTTAGCCCGTCGTTTCCGCGCTTCTCGCGCGGAATGCCGCTGGCTTGCGCGCTTCGGCCGCAATTCTCTCACGTCTCGAACGCGGAACGGCCAATTCCGCGCGAAAGCTTCGGTCGCAGGTAGCGTAATTCGCTATAAAAGAAAGGCAAAAATCAAGGGAAAAGGAAACGGCGAAGAAAGATAACGGGAAGGAACAGTTATATAAATATATAAAAAAGAAACCGCGGAGAAAAGCGAATAAAACGGCTTGTGAAAGAATTAAAAGAAAGAAAATGTACGAAAAGAGAAGAATGTATTAAAAAATGAATATAGAATGGAAAGGAAAGTATATTAAATTTGATCATAATATCGTGTTATAACATTTATCGATTAATTATCTATACATGTATTATATATGACGTTTGTGCATATTGCTGCAATTTATGCAAAGTCCCGACACGATTACTTATTATTATATTGTTACTAATTTATATTAATATTAGACCGCGCGAAAACACAAAAGGCGCATAATAACACGTCTGACAATGAGTGATAAGGTGATGAAGGAATCCTCCACATCTCGTCCGTTACAGTCTTTTGCGGAAGAGAGGGAAGTTCTAAGCGCTAGTTAGAACTTACGCTACACTTGACTTGGGCCAATTTTCGAGCACACCGCGAGTAATCGGGGGGGGGGGGATGCGCAACTCGGGCGTCGCCTTCCGCCTGCGCCTCTCGTTAGTCTCGTTGTCGGCGAGCACCACACACGCGAGAAAATCCAGGCTTTCGCCTAACGTTCCCCAGAGGAGGAGCGACGGGACTTTGCATAATGCGTTATCCGTGCGCGTGCCCACACACACACACACACACACACGCGCGCGCGCGCCAGACACGCCGCCGGAGGAATAACGCCGCGAATAGACAGCGTGAAATGCGCATATTACATATGCATAAATATATATTCGCCGACGCGAGTCCGCGCCGTTAACTCGCCGCCGACCGAATTTACATCCGGTTGCAACCGCCGGGCGCTCGTGGCGCAGCATCCGCTCGGCGCTCGCATTCGAGCGCGGGATGCGTCTTTCGCGCGCGCCCGGCTCCAAAAGCCGAGCTCCCCGAAAGGGCATCCCTCTGTCTGGGGGGGATGTCCCTCCTCCCCCTTCCCCTACCTCCTCCCCTTCGTACCTCGTGTCAGATCCGCGCTGTGCAGTTTTTCCGGACTGTAATGCCGGGAATGTAACGCGGCGCGAACGTAACACCGATGGAAATTCCCTCCGCTCACGTTTCATTTAGCATAATTTAAACCCGAATGTACATAACAGCTGCAATATTAACCGCACTCCCCGAGTAAACCAATACCACCACCATGTATAATGTGTATGCGAAGTTCGTTTCTCCAAAAACGTTTGCGGCTTATGACGGACAATTAATCTGCCATACGCCTGCGCGTGTGTTTATATGTTTAACAATAATAATTAAACATTATTAACTTGCGTCGAGTTTCACGAAAAAAGTAATTTTTTCTCGATATTTGTTTTGCACATATTTTTCTGACTTTAGAAGACATATAAATGTTTAGGTTTCATTTTATTTCAATTGGTTCAATTTGAATTTGATTTTTTGTTGTTCATGTAATTTCAATTATTCATTCGCTCTCGTTGAGAATTATTCGACGTTATAGTGTATACGATGATAAAACGCGCGAGACTAAGTAAGTGTCCCATTAACGCCGTCATTAACGCGATTGATTTCAGACTGGAGTGCGTGGTGAACGCTCTTTGTCGCGGCCTGAGTCACGCCTCCGGCAGCCTGTCGCGTCTGGTGCTCGACATGAATCTGTCCGGCGAGCAAGTGTCCCGGGTCTGCGAGGCACTTCGCGACTGCATTCAAGTGCAGGCGCTGCACTTGCCCCATTTAGGCTGCGGATGCGAGGGCCTGGCGTCGGTCGCCGAGTTGCTGAAGGAACGGCCGCTGCTGGCGCTCAACCTGGCTGGCAGCTGGGGCGCCAAGAACGAGGATCCGTCCAGCTCTGGCATCAGTATGGGTAAAACCTTGCCATTATTGCCCTCGATTCGTCGGTTCCGCGATTCCGCGATACTTACTTCACGTAAATTAGATATTGGCACATTATATCTCATCCAAATTAAACTTGTGACTACATTTTTAAATGAGTAGTCAATAAAACATTTGATACACATTTGAGAAATTACGAATTATCTATTAAATTAAGGATACTCAAAGATTTTCGTATCCAATAGTAGTTGCGAGTAAAGACCCCTTTTAGCGGTAATCTTTTTAATTAAAAAATTCAACTTTATAGACTGAATTTACATTATGACGTACATAATATCGAAAGTATATGCATGGATGCTTTCGCGATAAATCGCGTCAGCAAAATTGCGAGCTTTGCTCGATCGACGCAAAGCGTGTGCATACATAAGGTCGTCGTTTGATGTCTACGAATTTTTCGCGAGATATCAAACGCATTCCATATTTTATCGCCGACTCAGGCGAATTTTTTCTTTGCAATTAAATCGTCCCTTCTGTGGACATATTTTTTTCTGTGCTGTATCGAGATTGCCAAGAGTTCTTTCTTAAGAAACTGTGCTCTACTTAGAAAAGGCGAATCAGTCATTCTATAGGTGTATCGTATTATGATTTCTTTTTAAGTGTATAAATTAATGTGCACACATACACGTGAAAAACATGAACAAAGTTAAAAAATGTTTAATTTGGAAACCATTTTTTACTCGTTACGCTTATTATTTTAATGTACGTATCAGAAAACTTTTTTTTTTATAAAACTAGCAATATTTTGTCTTTTTATATCCTTGAAAGTTTTTCAAGTTCGAGATGAAACGCTCGAGGTGTTTCTTTTTGGAACAAGTGATAATGGCATTCGCGAGTCTTCCGTAGATTTCATAGGATAGTAATTTCGCGGCTATGTCCGGGGTTACGTCTCATAATGGTTGAATTGTTGTCAACGGTCCGACCGCGACAAGTTACGGAAGAGCGACAACGGTGACACGCGTCGCCGGGCGACGCCACGTCGGCGTCGCAGTCACATCGATACGACCGCGGCAAAAGTAACATTGTTGCACGGATGTACGCTCGCCATTAACTCCGACTCCGGAATTAGAAACTCGCGAAACGGAAGCGTGCGAATTGCGCCGACAAATCCGCGCGAGCGAAAGTTGCGGCCGACGTTAAAACGACGAACTTTGGCCCTTTCGAAACTTTAAGTCGCGCCATTTGCCCGCGGATACACGGACTGGAATGCTCCATTTATTCGCTCACAGTATTTGCGACAATCAAAACGACGATTGGCAGTCAGTGACAGTTAAGACAAAATCAAAATTGATATATTAAAATAAATAAAGATATTTATATTAATAGGAATACCACTCAATTCTCCGTTATAACAGATCATAGATTAAAGTTTTCACTGCATAATTTCGATTGTGACAATATTGCTATATTGGATGAAGAATATAACTCATCTTAACAAGCGATTAATCTCAGAGATGATATATATAAAAAAACAATCTAATGGTTTAAATCTACAAAGTGACAAATTCCAGTCGCCACAAAATATCGGATTATTTATATATTTCTTTTTTTATTTTTTATTTTTAATTAAATTTAGAAAAATTGAGCACCACTTTTATTGTTTAAAATTTTTTGAAAAAAGAAATGAATAGTAACGAATTATATGATCCTCATTTTTCACAACAAAAGAAATTTTATTTTTCAAAAATCGTGTAAATATTATAATTTATCAATTTCTTTAAAGTAGTATCAACTATTCAAGTTTTCATTAAAACAAATCGTTAAATAATTTACTTTCTACAGTAATAATCAAGCTAAATAATCAACATGTCAATATGTCATGAACTACGATAAGATCGATATCCGTTGACAAATTGATATACATACAAGCGCAATTATCGGAACACGCAAACTTTACGCCGATACTGTTTGCCAATTTTGATCGCTTGTGATTCGAAAACTATCGTAATCTTGATATTAGACCATCTGGCTCTAATTAATCTCCAGAATACTCTGGTAATATTAAAATATTAATGACGGGTCAACTCCTATAAATATCCGCGCGCACGCAGATAAAAGATTTCTCTTCTCACCGATGGTTCATTCGCAGCTTCACAGAAAGAGGTAACAATTATAAGCACCGTTGGTGCACACTTCGGTAAGAGCCAATCCGTTTACGAGACCCGAGCAAGAATCGCTTGGCTCGTCGAACGAAGTAAAAGCAGCTCATCGCACCCTCTCTTCTCGAGAAATTGCCAATCGATCGGACTTAAGAGTGACTACGTCTCGCAAGGAAGCTCGCGACTTTTGCACCACGCCGTAAGATTGCTCGCAGATTCCCAAAGGAATCACTTTCCGTCGTATCCGTCCTGTTTTTCCTGACTGGAAGGTCCTCGTAAAATAATAAATAGAAAATTCCTCGTGTAATCAAAGTGTCACATCTCGCGATAAATGAATAAAAAGAGCAAGCTCATTTTTATTCCTCCCTTAAGTATTATACTCTCATACAGACGTGTAGGGGAAAAAGGATTGGTTTGATTAAAAAAGTTCGCGCGCTCGCGAATATTGCTCGCTTTATTGAACGTCCGGTCAAATTAATAAAATGATACGCTAATTTTTTTGATAAATGGATTCTGTTAAAAGTTAAAACACTAAGGTGTCGAACTGCACATACTTCGTTAACTTCGTATTATTCGGTTCGAATTCGTTTTCCAATTATCTGTTTCAATTTCTCTCCGTAATTAGAAAAAAAAATTGATTTACGAGATGATTAAATGGGCTTTCTATCTGAGCGGTTTGTATGGTTCAATTGCGACCGTATCTGCTTTGGGAAATAATACGTCGTTTAGAATCACAACCGCGCAGCGGTGTTAATCCCAAAGTTTTTCTAATGGCGCCACGTTCCGGTCGCGCAAATGGCTCCAAACGAAACTAAGCCATTACAACTTTCGAGCCGTGTAAGGTCTGCGCAATTAACGATTATTATGTTAGCTCGGAATTGAGAGTGCGCGCGAGTTTGCTTATCAACTCCGTTAAAACACATTGGACCGCGGTCCAACGTATGCGTATTCATTGAGAGACTAATAAGTTGTATTTAGTGACTTTATAATTACTTTGCAATTATCTTAAACACGCTTCAAGTATTCGGGATTAATTATTAAAGTTCTTGTGCTACAAAAGCTCGGTATTGACTCTAACTGTTTTACAAAAGCACGCGGTGAAAAGTTTTATTCTTATTTCTCGCTAGAAGTTAATATTAGCACTGAAATTATTAGGATATACGCTGGATAAACTAAGTAAATGATTTTAAAGAATGATTTCTCGCATAAACTCGAGGCAAAATTTTACATAACCAAATGTCCGAAACGGCTTAGTTTCAAAAATATAGGGTGTCAAAGTTGAAGGAAAAATTTTCCTTTTTTTTCAAAAATTTCAAATGTCATAAAAATAACCCGAGTGATTTTCAAAATTTTGTCTTTCAACAGTTGAATAAATTTATATGAAAGTTGTAGGTCTTTTAGTAAAAGCCACGGACCGTCTTCCATTTCTCAGAGATCTGACTGAAATGGAATTATAGTGTAATCTCTCGAATTTCTCATTCTTGAATTTAGGATTCCTGAAATACCTGCGGCTCGCTCGATCGACCCCCGATCGTTCTCAAAAGAGAGTAACGTTACGCCCGAAGGATCACGTTTAGTCAGGCATCCCTTTCTAATCGCTTCTGCCTTCCCTCCATCTCCGCCCTCCCTCGTCTTAGTCACGAAATCGCTTTGCATCGTTGTTCGCTGCAATGCGCGCGTTTTCTCGAACGAGTCGAGTACGGTCTCTCGCCGACCGGCGGCATCCAATCACGCTAAAACGCCTCAGATAACATTGAATCGTCCCGAGGCACATTGGTGTAAGCAATACGCGTAACAGCAGCATTCGTAAATTTACCTGATTGCTTTAAACAAACCATCGATCGCGTCGCGTAAAAACTGGAATCACGTTGGGCGAATTGTGAAATGGGAAAATTGTAAAGGATTGCGTGTGAAAGTTGACGAATTTTATGTAAAAGAAATAATGTAATAGCAACACTTTTTGGAAGAGCATCTCATAATCTGTGCAAATTGTATGTATGCATTACGTATAAAAGTGATATTAAATTTCAGTGTGACAAAGAGATAATCGCTTGAGAATAAAATAGCAGGACAAAAAATTTAGGATTATATAGGTACGTAATTACGTGCAATGAGAAAATGCAGAATAATCGTTGGAAGTCAATTCGGAAAATGAGACTACTAATTTGTGAAAGTGCTGAGACGAATAAAATAAATCCGTAAGATAATCTTAAAAGCTCACTTCACATTTTGGAAATGACACTTAACGTAAAACGTTAAGTGTCATTCCCAAAATGTTTGCAATCTTTCCTTTGCTGCTCCACGTTTCTTATCAATTTCACATTGTGTGTAACGATGTCAAGTTTCCGAGTTTAACGTAAGAAAAATAGCGAGTTTCTCGAAACACGGTAATAAAACAGCCATCGAAATTATCTCTCGCTTATGCTATCAAAGCGTTTACGCCGTGTTAGGGAATATGAAATGTAAATTGAATGTCGGAGCGGGTGGGGCGGCAGGGAGGGACAACATAAGCTATCGGCATCGCGAAATTGCTTTTCCCATCGAAAGGATTGGACGTCTTCTTGTTACCGATCGTCCTTAACTAGGTCGTCACCCCACCAATTGGACTCTATTATAATTAATTTGGCACAGTACGAGCGGATAAACGCTCTGCAAGTCGCGCTGATCGATCGTAGGGCAAAAACTTTCCACGCTTCCGTGTCGTGATAGAGTAAGTTTAGTACAATGCAGCGAGAAATTTCTACCTCTCTGCGCACAAAGGAGACAATAATTAATACCGAATTATGCATTCGCGAGGTCTCTCGAGTAGAGCGAATAAATGGGTTTGTATTAAACTTTCTTTTCCATTATCCGAAAATATTGAAAGACAACAAATTTTAATGAAACTAACGAGACATTAGCAAGAGATTTCTCGCATCTTTCTCTCTCTTTTTCTCTGCATGAAAGAGGTATAAAATAATTAAAATTATATTAAGCATCCAAACAGTAAATATTATACGAACAGTAGAAATAATTAATTTTATAATAAACTCTATTGAAATGCTGTCTGCAAATTAATTTATTCATTAATCAATTAATTCTCCCTTTAGTTCTCTTTCTCTCTCTCGCCATATCTCTTCGTAAAATTATTTATGAATTAACTTGATTAACAGAAAGAGGTAAAAGCGTCTCGAGTTTATTAATATTCAAAGCTTGATTGTCAATCGTAAATTACGTATAATTAAGTAGTAATTACATTAATGTTATTTTGGATTAAATAAACATCATTATTTAATTAATTTTGGTTGCAATTTCACAACCTGTTCTCAAGAACAAATAGGAGACATGCGAGAAGCATGAAAAGAAGCTTAAGGCCTTTTTCATTTTCTGCGTCAACCGCCTAAATAAATTGATATGAAAGAGCTTTATAACGCCGGCGGATAATAAGTCAAGTCGATGTTCAAACGCACGAAATCAGACATTTTTCTCATACCGAAACTTTTTCACAAAGAAGTTCTTTTACCGCGAGGAACATCTCTCTCTCTCCCTTACTTTTGCGCCTTGTACATTATTACTCGTCGAGATATTGCATTAAAAAATACAGTAGCAAATGATATTTTTCAAAAGCGTTATTATTCAAGTCGGCAAATTACAATCCCTTTAAATAATAGTAGAAGCACACGAAATACTTATTACGCGCTTAAATAAATGCCTAAAATAAATTTCACAAATTATAAAATAAAATTACATTTACGGCGTAATAATTCACGGCACTTTAACACGACATATTTCGGCATCATAATACGTCAATCTAATTAACATTATCATAATCACTTCACGTGTGTCACGAGCATCGATGATTCATTAATGAAATCGCGAGTTCGCTACCTCGTCGGGTTAATCATCGTCCGAATGATCGCGCGACGTAACGCGATTTTCCGTCCCAGTTACGGCGTAACTTCGTATTACGTGAAACTCCGACAATGTCCCGGCGGTGTCCATCAATTTAATACTTGACAACGACGACGACGACGACGACGACGACGATGAGAGAAAGAACGACACACATTTGCATCGCGCGTCTAAGCACACGCTCGAGAGAGAGGGAGAGAGAGTGTGTGTGTAGAAGTTTGTGTGAAGTTTACGAACAAAAGTTAACACTTATTATAACAACTCAACTTGGAAATTCTCCGGAAACTATACGAGAGAGAGAGAGAAAGAGAGAGAGAGAGGGAAAGAGAAAGAGAGGAGATACTGTCTGCCCGTCGCGAGCAAAGACAGAAATCCCCGCAGCTGGCTGGTGGACACGACTTTCTCGTCACCGAGTAGACGGGGTATAATTAATCCGGGCTCGGTTGGGCCAAGCACACGTCTTGCACGTATACGAGGGTAACCAGAGACTAACGGAACGCTTTGAATGAGGCAGATACGATACATTGAGAGACATCCAATCGACTAAATCGTCTCTCTTTCGCCATTTGTTGCTCTCGAATCGAATTTACGAAAAGTGTTCGTCGTCACGAGGGCTGAAATTATATCGTCATTTTCTTTCGGTATATCGCGCCACTTGAAAACATCGAACGATGAAGAGAAATTAAGAGAATATTTTTGTCGAACGACTGCCGCATATTTTACGTTTTTGCCGATACGTGAGAGGAGCTTCGAAGAAACGAAAGTTTGCGCACTCAAGGGCGCTGAGTTCCTCGAGGATCCGAGAGTGTCGAGTTTCTAAAGGATTCAACGATCCAAGGACCCGTTGAGTTTGAAAGTTTTACGAACTAAGGATCTCGAAGACTTCAGATTACGAAGTGTTACAGACTGGAGATATAAGGATTCCAAAATCGAGGAACTGAGGGAAGGGGGAAAGAGGATCGATTGCGCGAGACTTGAGCGACATGTCAGCCCCATCCGGAATTGCCCTGACGAATGGCTCTCTCTCTCTCTCTCTCTCTCTCTCTCTCTCTCTCTCTCTCTCTCTCTCTCTCGTCGAAATGAAACATCGAGATCGAGCGACGTGCGTCACGGATTAATATTCACCGTGGAATCTCTCGCGTGTCAGTTTCCTCGAATTTTCCCGTACATCTAATTTTCCCCGGACGATATACACGTCCCAGATGAGATCACGTCCAAAAAGGAGTTTAAGCCCCCGCGCTCAAACCCCCGGTACCGTAGAATCCGTATTTGAGCTTGTCTGATGTACAGCGCATCCCTCGTTGAACATCCGGAGCAACGTTAACGTTACCGGCAACGTCGTAACTACGGAGGGCAAAATGAGAGAGGAAGAGCATTGGTTTTAAGTCTTTTAGACGTTTAGACGTATTAGCTACGTCCACAGAAAGAAAAAGATTTTATGTTTTCGTTACTGGAATTTCAGAATTTTATCAACTATTTCCTTAAAACTTTTGATATCCTTTCTTTTATAATCAATACATAAATCATATTTTACGTCGCTTTCGCTTTTGTTCGCATATTTTGTATTATAACAACATATATTACAGTAATTTTTCGATGATATATTTTTTAAATATTTTCTTTTACAAACAGGAATGTATATGCGATTAATAATAGTATAAAATATATTATTTGTGGGATTCAAGGAAGGGTGTATAATGTTTTATTTATGTTTCTGGAGTTCTACGCCACTGCTGGTCGCGTTTGACTGTAATTCTGGACGGATACGATGGCGGAGCGCTCTCGAAATAGCGATAAACATTCCCTAATTTAATTAGTAATTACGAAATGCTCGTTGCAATGCGCCGGACGCGATGGCACGATTATCGTACGTGGCGGTGTACTCCCGCTCGGATAACTCGTCCTACGTGGCCTGCCGTTGATTGATCGCGTTACACAGCGGGCCCGATTACAGAACAACGCGTCGCCGCGTGGTTACGAGTTTAACGCTGATAAAATTCGCGCTCTATAATCGAAATCTGCGCCCGGTTTCGATGAAACGACACCGCTAGGCGAAAAGAATCGGGGACTCTATGAAATTGGAAATTGGAAACGAAGATGTTTATTTAGAATTTATATCCGAATTTCTAATTATTGATAATTTAATTATTAAGTTATTAAAAATAATTATTTAATATTTTACTTTTAAAATATTTCTATCCATATATCTTTTATATAAAATATATATAAAAAACAATAAAAGAATATATATATATATATATATATATTTTAGCATAAAATGTAAAAGAAAAAATAGTATAAAACCGACTGTCTCATTTCAAATAAGGAAGCCGAGGAAATCTACGGCGATACTGCGCGCTTGCGGAATTACTCAATTTCACCCATGCCCGAGAAGTGTATTTGCGGCTATAAAGAAGCTTCTAAACAAATTTACTCGTGGCGGCAACCGCCGCTTATGTTCCGTATACCGCCCCGGTAAAGCGGTTACTATCGATAAGACAAGTGGAAATTGTGCGCGGGGGCATCTACCCCCATAAAAAGTTACGTATCGTCGTCACGTTGCTCGCTCGTACGAGAAGAACAAATCACCTTCCATAAACCTCGTCTTTCGCCTTTTCAATTTCGCGCTATCCTCCCGCATATTCCGTATACCACCCTCCCCCTCACCCGTGTCGTAAAGGTTTTTCACGCGAGCTTATTTAACTTTTCCTTTAAGCCAATCGCACGAGAAGAACGTGTCGGTCGCGCTGCGCGCGACATTTTAATATTTGACTCCGCGTACTCCTGCGACGAATATCGAACACTGCGGAGATCTTCTTTTATCTTTTGCATTTTGCATCTCTTTCACAGGTATAGTTTAGGTACTATAATTTAATTTCCGCTGCATCATACTTTTTTTTCTATATGTCTCTCTCTCTCTCTCTCTCTCTCTCTCTCTCTCTCTCTCCTTCGTTTCGACTCAATTTTGCTTTAATCTAAGAATCTTATAAGGTTGCAAAGTTTTGGCGAGACCATTCTGATGTGATAATTTAACGACAGGTTCAGGCTCGGGTTCCGGTTCCGGCAGCAGCGGATGCGCCTCTAGCACTCTCGGCACCCTACCGCTAAATCGCTGCTACTCATCCTTACCCAGGGGCGCGCTAACGGCTTACGGCAGCCTGACACGACCCGCCACCCTGCCGCGTCTTCCGCTGGGCCTCGGCTTGGGCCCGGCACCCAACACGGGTAACGGGCCGCTGCCACAAAATGACCGGGATCGAGACAGCAACGGCAGCAGCAAGAGAAACAGCGACAGCGTGCTCTGCCATCGGCTGCCCTTGCTACATCCCCTGCCCACGTGCGACATCACCAGCCATCAGGGCACCGGCTTCCACGAGATATTCAACGCTATCAGGTAACTCGTCTTGCATGATTTCTTTTTCTTTTGTATTTCTTTCATTTTTGTAGTCTTTATACATATATTAATTGTATCAAGGAAAAAAATGGCTAAAAAGTGTTTTTGAATTAAATTAAACTCTTTGAAGAAATATTTAATTCTTTCAAAAAATTTAATTTAATTCAAAAATCTTTCTCATAAATATTATCGGTTTAACCGTAATAAAAAATGTTATATTGAAAAATAATATTTTTTTGTGGCGATTGCATCGTAATAAAATTCTCGCTATTTTTATCGTCCATGAGACACTCTTTGCTTCGCGTTTTATATATATTTTTCGTTGGGCCCGGATAAGTACACGGCCTGCCGAACTTTCCGAGTTTCCCTCGTTCGAAAAACTCGAACTCTCGGGACGATATCTAATGGTCGGCCCGAATGACGGCGAATGCATCCCGCTTCTTCCCGCTACAGCCGGGCCCGAGCGTGGCGATTGGAGAAGTTGCGCGATTTCTACGGCATTGCTGCGCGCCGGGGAGAGAGAGAGAGAGAGAGAGAGAGAGAGAGAGAGAGAGAGAGAGAGAGAGACGGCTGTTGACGTAATCGAGGAAGCTTCAACAGCTTCCGACCGAAGTTTCCGCCGCCGTCCGCGAGAAGTTCGCATAATTTCGCCAACGAAATATTCCCGCTCGTTCCCTTTAATTTCCATAACTCATTTACCGGCCGTTCAAGAAGAAAAGGGGACTCTGAGGAAGTTCGCCGATGCCTTGCTCGTCGTAGGTCGCGCGAATATATTCTTGCTCCCGAGAAGAGGGAGCCTTCCTCTTCGTCGGGGAAGAGTAATCAGGAGGGCCAAGTTGTTCGGCCATTTGCGGGGTTTGCTTCAAGGCCGCGAGCGTAATATGCCCTCCTCGTACGCACGAGAATTCGAGAGCGGAGAGGCGAATTGAATGGCAAGATCATTTTTCTCCCTGAAATCTTTCTGCTTTATAAAGAAATTGTTACCTCCAAAGTTTGCCTTCTCTTTCTCTTTCCCGCGGAAAATTCTCTTCCGAAATTTTATTGGGAACTATTACCGAAATTGCCAATCGGTAAAACTTTCGAAAAACTTTTTCATGAAATTTTTGCGCGATACAAGAGGCGCAATTATTATTTCAAACGTAATGTTGCGTCAGCACGTGACGGTATCTTGTTGAATATTTGATTCAGTCAGATTATTGTACCGGAACGCACACTGTTGGAATATGTATGGGCGCTTGTATTCATTTATGCGTAAAAATATCTACATATATGCGTCAAGACCGGTCACTCGATCCATCTCGACCATAAAACATTTGGTTGTGATGGTAATTACGATGGTAATGGCAAATGTGATTAAGTCGATAACGAAATGTCGCGCATAATTATTAACGTTAGCCGCGCTTAACGTCATCCTACATGAAATTATTGGATTTTCATGCGGAACTGTTATTGGTGCGCGTGATAGACGAAGATCGATCGGGATTTATGCGACATCAACATTTCGCACTGGCTGCAGCAGATTGATTCTTCCCTTCCCCCACCGGATTAGCAGCGCGTATATACTTTGCATATTCGTGTACTTCAATAAATAATATCGCTTACAGATAAATTAATTTTAACGCTCGGAAACTTCGGTCGGAAGCTGCTTAAGCTTTCTCGATTACGTCAACAGCCGTCTCTCTCTCTCTCTCTGACGCGTCGCAATGTCGTAGAAATTGCGCAACTTCTCCAATCGCTACGCTCGCCGCGGGCCCGGCTGCAGCGGGAAGAAACAGGATGCATTCGCCAGCACTCGGGCCGACCATTAGATAGCGTTCCGAGAGTTCGAGTTCTTCCCGGACGAGGGGAACTCGGAAAGTTCGACGGTCCGTGCGCTTATCCGGGCGAGAAGTCCGATATTTCGCGTAATTACCGTTGGAGCTTGCCCGAAGCTGTGCGAGATTCGCCCGAATAATTTACAGATTTATTCGGGAATGATCAAATATCATCTCCTTTTTTTTATAAAATTTAGATATGTGTAACTTCCGAGCTTTGTATTCGTTGCTATAAAATGTTCTTTGATTAATTTATTTTTTCCATAGTTATTTAATTCCCTTTTTTATCAAATTTAAATAATCCGTGTAATATTCTGAAATTTATATATTTATTATCTCGTACAAAATATTCTTTGATTAATTTAACATTTATTTTTTATTAATAATATTTTAAACTGGACGCGCAATTACTTTCCATGTATAACTGTTCAATAATAAATATATTGTATATATATCTATACAATATATTAACAAAAAAAAATTTAATGTAGTCAATATTAACTACTTTTAATTTAAATTAATTAATAACTTAGAAGATTTGTAATTTTTTTATTTTTAAGATGTTAGGAGAAATGACTTATGTCTTATCTCAAGTATTATAACGAGACTGGGATTGTAAGACGATCGCAGCTGGGATTAGATATTAATTCATCCCCGTACCTTACAGATCTTACATAGCTGGATCGTATATCCGTGGACCATTAATTACATTTAAAACAGCATGCGTCTCATGATTTATTGTTCGCGTATCGCGCCGGAGTGTCGCGCGATACGGTGGTCCAGCCGGAGGCGGCGGCGGCGGCGGCGACGGCGGCGGGTGGAAGGAAGTCGATCCATTTCTCGCAGATGCGAACCGACACGGGGGTGCTCCCAACTGTATTCTAAAGATCTCGGAAAGATTTCTTAAGACCCGCGACGGGAATAAAAGTTCCACCCGCGCCGCCACAGCTGCCCCGTTCGGCCGTTCGTCTTTTTCGCGCCTGCGAAAGTCGGATCACCCGGGTGTGCGTGCGTGTTTCGATTCCGAAAGCGATAAATAACTCACGTCCCGCCCTACGTTAATTGCCCGTGCCCGCTCGAACGCGCCAGGAGTGCTCTCGCGCATCCGATAAACCCGTGAGTCCTCTGTCAAGATAATTATTGTAACATTGAGCGACGAACGTGCGGGACACCGTAATTTTTTTCCAACGATTAATACGAATAGTCAAATCAGTCAGAAGAATGGCGACCATTAATTTCGTCGTCGGAAAAAGTGGCTGTCACTGTTACTCCATTGCCGCGTTTATCACGCTCGAACTGAAAATAATACCGTCGATCACGGGATGCGGAGTGACGAAAGAAACGAGATTCGAGTTATTTCAATCGTTTTTTAACTTCATTGGAGCGCACAATAAGTCTAACTCGTGATTTGTACTCGTATCCAAATAATAACTAATATAAAACCAACGAGCCGGATTCGTTATGATTTTAACGATAGTTTTTAAAAATAACTCAGTTTTTATTTATAAAAACAACTTATTACTACTATTTTCTAAAGTAAATTTATTTTGCATTTGTATTCTTAATAAACATTTTAGAATATAAATTTCTAAGAAATTTATACTCTAGATTTTTATCATTATTACATGAATGACGGAAATAAATGCTTTCCTCTCTGGCTTCGGCGTTCGGGAAATAAATGCGGTTAAGCTGATTCAAATGAGATTAATTCTCTCCCATCTAATCGTTAAAAACGAATTAAAAATGTTTATTCATTTGTTTTCTTGACGCGAGCAAATCAACTCGCGCGAAACGCTTGATGAACGCGGGAATGAATCGATAGGAATCGCGGGGCCAAGCTGTGGGTTAATGGAACCGCGTCTTGCGTATTATTGCAGATTATCGCCGCGTAATATCGCGCGAGAAAATTACGTTGTTTACCCGCGTTACATTCCGTTGGCGCTGAATAGACCTGGCGAGCAATTTCGCGAGGATTTGTTGTACGTTATCGGTATTAAATGCACAGAACCGACGATTTGGCTCGGCTTGGCGTAAAACCGACCCCGGGAATCTAATTTACAGTTTACCCCCCGCGACGCCCTTACATCATGAAACGAGAGAGTGCGCGAACTCGAACGAAACGTCAGCTACGTGACGTCGACGTGTTTTTTTTTTCGGACGAGCGACGTGTTGTTTCCGCCGAATTTCGGGAAACGGTAAATTTCACGACTCACGGCGACTTCGTCGTGACGTGTGTGGATATGTGTGGATGTGCGCGTAACAGGTGTAGGCAAGCGCGCATACATACGGCAAAGGTGATGTTTTTAATTAAAAACTCACCTTCGCCCGAGTCCGGGCGGCGCCGAGTCGCGCGGACACCCGCGGCAAATTGGAGCCCTTGGCGGAAAAATATATCCTAGATTATTCCACGGGCACGGTCCAACGTCTTTCCGCGCGCGCGGGGCGAGCTCCCAAACACGCCCGCCCTCCGACCGACGTGCAGTATCCGCGCGACGACGCGCAAACGTATTCCATTAAATTTCTCGCGCCGGCCTTTATCGCTTTACCGCCGTCCGACTTTCGCTTCCGACCTGAACTTACGGCGCGCGGAAAAATAACGTCGAAATTTCAAAAGCGCGAGAAACGCTCGAGTTTGTATGTCGAAGAAATATTACTCTGAGCATCGGACCCTCGATTGAGTCTTCTCCGTAAGACTGGCTGCGAGCGATAAGCGCGCGTGTCTGAAAGCTGAAAATACACTACAGTTGCGCGAAGTTGCTTTATTACATCCGACTCCGGATCCGACTCCGTTTCTAACCGAGAAACGTTCACCGATTCATTAAAATGA